CACATTACATAGCACATGTGATTTCGGTAAAAGGTCGCATTTTGCAGCTTAATATTGAGTGCCTGCGGCTTTGGTGTTAGAAAGCACAGATGCAGGTCTGGGCAACAGAATTTGGCTTGCATGCGGCCATAGTAACCCATTGTCTTTCGGCTTCTGCAGCTTTCCTACAAGCAGCACCCTCCTTTCCCAAATACCAAGCAAAGCCCGTTGAGTGCTGCGGTTTTCCTGTTAACGTGCAGCAGCAGAAACCAAACTAACCGCCCCCCCCATCCAATTCTCTGGGATGATCGCTTTATCCCTCCCCGCACCGCGTGGCTTGTATCAGGGAAGATTCCCACCCTCCCTCCACCCCCGCTTGGCTAACTGCAGGGAAGGATTTCTTTTCAGCCACAGGCAAACAGCCCAGTAGGAACGGCCACCTCTGTCCCCTTAATTAAATTCACACGTATTTCAACCAGGTTACCATGAATGATATCACTCTCCGGAGAATAACACAACGAGATAAAGAACGGATGTTGCATGCCAGCAAACACCGGGACCATACGCTGCCAGGCTTTGTCATGCAATGATACCAGATTACTTGCTACTAGCATGGCGTGGTCAAGTGTCCTACCATGGAGGACAGAATAAGGCTGCACTGCCAAGAAACCTTGTGGAAAGGCTTTTGGAGTACCTCCAGGAGAGCTTCATGGAGATGTCCCTGGAGGATTTCTGCTCCATCTCCAGACACGTTAACAGACTTTTCCAGTAGCTGCACTGGCCGCGAATGCATCCCAAGTCCTCAGGGCAAATTAATAATTAAAAAACGCTTGCTTTTTAAACCATGTTTTATATTTTAAAAGGTAAACTCACCTGAGGTCCCTTCCATGGGGTCATGGTCTTGGATACTGCCTTGGGAGGGTACTTCACTCAAGCTGAGAAAAAGATCCTGGCTGTTGGGGAGAACGGAGTGCTGTGTGCTCTCCGCAAGCTCGTCCTCCTTCTCCTCCTCTTCCCCGTCTGCAGAATCCTGAGGTGTGGCTGATGAGATTACCCGTCTTGGAATCCACGGTCAGAGGTGGGGTAGTGGTGGCGGCCCCCTCCCCCGCCCCCTAGAATTGCATGCAGCTCAGCGTAGAAGTGGCATGTCTGTGGCTCTGACCCGGAGCGACCGTTTGCCTCCTTTGTTTTTTGATAAGCTTGTCTGAGCTCTTTAACTTTCACGTGGCACTGTAGTGTGTCCCTATTGTGGCCTCTCTCCATCATGCCCTTGGAGATTTTTTCAAATGTTTTGGCATTTTGTCTTTTAGAACGTAGTTCTGCTAGCATGGAATCCTCTCCCCATATAGCGATCTGATCCAGTACCTCCCGTACGGTCCATGCTGGTGCTCTTTTTATGATTCTCGGACTGTATGGTTACCTGTGCTCTGCACGCTGGGCAAACAGGAAATGTAATTCAAAAGTTCACAGGGCTTTTCCTGTCTACCTGGCCAGTGCCTCAGAGTTCAGATTGCTGTCCAGAGCGGTCACAATGGTGCACTGTGGGATAGCTCCCGGAGGCCAATACCGTCAAATTGCGGCCACGCTAACCCTAATCCGAAATGGCAATACCGATTTCAGCACTACTCCCCTCGTCGGGGAGGAGTACAGATATCGATATTAAGAGCCCTTTATATCAAAGTAAAGGGCTTTGTTGTATGGACGTGCGCTGCTAAATTCGAGAAACTCCTAGTGTAGACCAGGCCTAAGAGTTAAGGCGCCTGCCCACAGAACCTTAATTCTGCCTTCTTTGAGCAATGCCCCAGTACACCCATAACACAGCAATAACCCTCCGCTTGCTAAATTTGACAGCCCCATTGCTCTTACCCAGGAGATTCCCTCTAACACTGTACTACTGCTTTCACAGCCCTCTCTCGATTCCTACCTCACTGCTGACAATCTCCAAGGCCAGAAGACTCCTGTGCTCCGTTAATGAGGCAACCTACAGGATTCACCACTGAGGTGAGGCAGCCTGGCTCTCGCGTGCACCGCTCTCCTCTGGTCACACGAGGAGGGGTTCAACCCACCCAGAGGGGAAAGGCCCCACAGATGTCATCAGACTCCAATCAAAACTCGGACAAGCTGCTCCAACTAATCCCCCCACCCTTCAGTATAGCTACAGCTAATGCAGTGAATGTAGCTGGAGTGTACGCAGGTAATTCCCAACGGCTGTTCCCAGCTCCGGGGGGGCAGAGTTAAGGTTGCATTGGCAGGTATCTTAACTCTTCATTCCCTGTTTTTCTAGAAGCTTAGCTGTCATTTAAACTTTGTGCTAGAAGGGCCCAGGATACAATCAGGCTACTTTAGCTCTGTCTTAACAAAGTGTTGTCAGTGAGTTGTCTATGCCGGGCTAGAAAATATAATGGGTTTTAGCTCTTGCCTCTCTCCACCAACTGAGAGTCAGGTGATCAAATTATTTGATGGGAGTCTCAGCCCATTGAAACAAGGAAGCAGAGGCCTGCAGCCTCGTTCGAGAGTTCAATAACTATTGACCACATGATGTACTTGAGTGGGTGTGTGTTGAACAACTGGTGCCATGTTAGAACAAAGGCCTTGGCTACACAAGAAAGAGGTTGCTATACCAGCAAACCCTCCTAGTGGAGACACATTTTATACCAATAAGAGAGTCCTTTTTTCCACTGTAGCTTATACCAGGTCTCCAAACAAAATAAGCTCTGCTGGCAAGGTTGTCTACATGAGGACTTTTCCATGCAGTTTTATATCAGTTAGGAGGGGTGTTCTCCCCCCCTCCCCTCCACACACTACTAATCAACAGAGTTATGCCAGAGTTATGCTAGCAAAACTTTGAAATGTAGACCCCTTTATCCCTTGGGTGTAGCTTGCATCTGCTTTGGCTGGAAGGACCAGCGTTCGAAGAACTTCCAAATGTGAGACCACTTTGAGAATTGTTCAGTGC